AAATGACTAATCTGGTTACAGAGTGATAGCCATTGTTTTACTACTAGGAGGTGGGTGCTACGTCTCAAAAGAACCAGGCTCTTTTCTCTTGGGGTTGCTTGTACTTTATAAGCACGAGGGCTGGGTCACTTCCTGTCCCCAGGTACAAGGGGGGCAAGGCTTGCCCAAAGAAGCACCTCCATTTCCACTGGCCTTCTTTTTAATCTGTGACTAGGGGATAAAATTTCAAAAATTCAAGTGAGACTAACTAGGCTTATACCAGATTACAGGATTTCTAACCAGTGGCAGGAGATGAGGTAAGGAAACCAATTAAGTTCTATGTGGCGGTACAGACAACTTGCAAGTTTTGAGCCTACGGACCATTTCCAGCAGATACAGCTTGCTAACAACAGGTCTGTTGCCCCAAACCTGGCTATTCTCCTTGTTTAAAACCTCATGCAGGGCCATGGAGGCAGCTGCAGAGCAGCCTGGATGCTGGAGCTCACGCATAGGCTCGGGGAAGCACTTCCTGAGTTGCCAATAGTTCTGGTTCACTGTTCACTTCATAAACTCTGACCACAGTTATGGATTTCAGAGATCCACACTGAGGACAGTAGAGCTGGTCAAAGAACAGACCTAAGAGCAACAGGAGACCTCATTATATTGAGAATATGTCGTCTTCTTGGATTGGAATGGGGAAATAATTTATTATAAACACAACTCAGAAATAAGGGGAAAAACAAATGTGTTCTATAAATGGAACACTATTTCTAGAAGAGATATTCATGAAAAGTGGAAACTTATAAAAACAGGTATTATTGCAGTGAGAAGAAGTACAGTAAGAAAGTGAAAGGAAAATGAGAAAAACCATGCAGACTGGGCAGAGGAGGAGAGATTTGTCTGGGCTGAGATCTCAATGACAAGGCCAGACAGATTTAAAAAGGAAACATGAGGTATTCGAATTCTTCATAGAGGTGGAAGAGATACAAAGTGGGCTGGGTTATGACAATGCACAGGTTATTAGGCCAGGAAGGTGACTGAGGACCCGAGTTGTTTAAAAAGACTACAGAGAAGAACTCTGAGAACAATCACGATGCCCGAGAGGGAGCCCAGAGCCAGGAAACTCTCATAAAGCTGCAGAGCAGGACTTTACAGGATGACCTCAGCACCGGGACCAAAGTGGAGACCGATCAACCAGGGCCCAATATCCACAGGACATATTTTGTCACTCGGTATGTCTGCTGCACTTTTAAAGCAGAGAACAAGTCTCCATCTCTCTTGGCTCCGGAAGGCTTAGAGGCTTCCCTCATTTTCTTTCCCATGCAGCCCAGTTCCACCCAAACTTGGGGGACAGCAGAGAGGCTGGGACCTTTGGCTCTGTGCCACCATGTCATGCTTGTGACAATGTCTCCTTGAAGACTCTGGGGGCTGGGCCATGGGCTCTTAATTCTATGGAGTTTTAAGTTTAAGGAAAAAAAAATTCATGTTCTGTATTTAAAAGATCCTGAGAAAACAAAAAAATTAAAATCTATAACAATTCAAATGATAATTACTTCAAGTTTGTTTTGAGGGTAAGAGGTTAAAAGGGGTCTTGGTTACAGCATTTTAGTCTGGAGGTTTCCACATTTCAAGGTTTTCAAAGATGTGAGGACAAGTAACTTAAGAATTTAACTTCATTCCTGCATCTTTACCAAGCCTCCCAGGACCCAAAGATTACAGAGGAAGACCAGACAGTTCCTTGTGTGAGTCCATGGTGGTACACTCAGGCTCACCCTACCCTTCCCCCAATATTACAGGTAAGGAGTTAAGTCAGTAGGGTCAGCAGGAATTTCATTTGGGAATATACAGCTAGATATCACCTAGATAGAAAATCTATCAGCAGCCAAAACACAGGCTGAAAACAAAGGGCCGTGCTATGTAATCAAGTTACTCTAAACAGGTATTTTTTTTTTTTTTTTTTTTTTTTTGAGACGGAGCCTCAAGCCATCCCCCTGGGTAGAGTGCCATGGCATCACGCTCACAGCAACCTCCAACTCCTGGGCTCAAGCGAGTCTCCTGCCTCAGCCTCCCAAGTAGCTGGGACTACAGGCGCCCGCCACAACGCCTGGCCATTTTTTGGTTGCAGCCATCATTGTTGTTTGGCAGGCCCAGGCTGGGGATTCGAACCCGCCACCTTAGGTGTATGTGGCTGGCGCCTTAGCCTCTTGAGCCACAGGTGCCTAGCCTAAACAGGTATTTTTAATGATGGTAGTAATTTCTAGCTTTTATTAATATTTGGTATCTCCTTATCTTGACCTGGCAGCCGATATACTGGAAGAAACACTAATTAACATCAACATATTGGAAAAGGAACCTAATTCTGATAACATGCATGTACTCTGCCAGGGAAGAAAGATAAAAGTGTAAATTCAGTTTATTAGCGAAACATACAGAACTGGTAAAAAAAACCCCAGCATGCAAATTATACTTTAACATATTACATAAAAGAAAAAAAATTTAAGACAATATGTATTATGAGAGTTTTGTTCAATACTAAAAATGTAAAACATAATGAATATCTGAACAGTCCAAGAGGCATTATTTTATGCTAATTATCTTTAGCATTCCTCCAATACTAACATATCCTATTAGTTATTTGGGGCATTAAATGTATTTAAAAGTACTTTCCAAAGACTAATAACTGTCTTGGCTTTAAGGTACCATATTATAAGAGAGCTTAATGAGAAACACAGCAAACAGAAATAAACAAACTTACAATGATGGGAATTTTCTCTTTGGGTTTTGCCAGTTGCTTGGCCAACAAATACTGTTCCGTTCCGGGTTTTGCAAATCCAGGAAATCTAATCATGAAGATAAATGCTCGTGAGTGTTATGTCTATGAGAATTCTACAACTCTCATCCACGTTTACTTAATACGCCAGTTTTAACCTTGTTCTGTCTTTCAGAGTAGGAAACTGTGGTAAATGAAACTAACACAATCAGATTGCTCACTGGCCAATTAGTCACTTAATTCAGCTTGATCTGGTGAAGAGAATAGTCTGACTCCAAAAGGTGTGATATTTATAGGTACTCTATTTGCTTAACTGGGTCTAAAACATTCTATCCCCCAACAAAGAGTGAAGGGCACACTTAAAAAATGTTCTCCAGTTCACAGGGCCAGTTATGTAATAAGCACACGAATCTCAACTGGCCATAGGGGCCACAGCTACATCCAAATTAAAGTTTCCTGTAAACATTCTCTCTCTGAAGGTTACAATTATCCCTAAGAAGCTGCTACTGTTCTTAAGCATTTGTGCCATTTTCTTCTGAAAGTGCCTTCAGAAACAGTTTGACATTGAGAAAACTCTCCTTTCTAAGTGATCCAAAGCATAAGAAATTTGGCTACTGGTGTGTATGGGGGGTCACTTTAGACCCCAAAACATAAATTTGGCTACTTCCAGAAATCAAATCTACATCCAAAGGACATTTCTATGATTGGAGGACAGCTAGAACAAATGCGTGGCTACCCAAAGTGCTACTTTTGAAAAAGACAAGATTAATTTGGGTTCTAGAATATTTAAAAAAAAAATAAACAGGCTCGGCGCCTATAGCTCAACCGGCTAAGGCGCCAGCCACGTACACCTAAGGTGGCGGGTTCGAAT